TACGATCAGAATCAGTGGGGTTCCATCTGTACGTCGATCGGTGTCCGTAATAATCCAACGACATTAAAAAGAATCTCGCGTTACCCAAACGCGTTACACTATGGCGAAGGCCGGTTACTTCGGGTAATACTAAACTCGGCGGACGAGACTGAGACCGTTCTGCTGTCTGCGAATCGTCTCCGCAACGACTCAAGTGGAGTGCGCATACTACCTGTAATCCCGTCGAAAGAACGTTCAACGGATCCCGCTAACAAAGAGAGATACAGAAAATGTCAAGATAAGAAAACAGTGATTGCTCACGGTGTTCCCAAGCTTACTGATTCGTCTTCCGACGATTCTCAGATGCACGACCGCGAGCAATGGCACCGCATCCGGGAGGCTCTTTCTCGCGAAAATGTCGTGGCCACCTCGTTGACAAGGATCCCCATATCACCAAACTATAAGAGATGGGTTGCAATCAGAATTAACGGCACAAACCCTACTAAAGAACTGCACTAAATTCCGTTGCAGTTTGCCAACATAAATTCGTCTGAAAGCAGCGTGAACACCAGCATCTTTTAATGATACTTCGGTAGAGGCACAACTCCTATTGAAAACGCCAACTGCAGGACCCTACTCGGGGACGGTTTCAACGGTAGCAATAAAATCCTGAGGGACACAGCAGAGCACGAGAATACACGTGGATCCGGAGCATCTGATACTTGACTACATTCCAAATTCGTCTCGAGAGTCTGCAACCGATCCAAAAAGCGACTAGTCGCTGACCCTTTATTGGCCGGCGTAAACTCTCTTCATCCATCCAATCTAATACACTTTTGGTCTCCGAGAAACTCTCATGCATGTACCCACATGTCCAAGGTCTACCCAGCAAATTAGCTGAATTAAGACTTCGACACGCGTCAGCAGCTTGGGACCTCATCGCTGTCACCGAAGCGTGATTGCGCTGTGTGGTAACGGATGCTGAAATCGCGCTAACGGGCATATCCGTTGTCCGGAAGGATCGAACCAGCATAGCTGGTGGCGTAGCCCTCTACTTTCGTAACAACTTGCAATGCGAACCCATAAAAGATTCGGAAACCGATGTGCCTGACGTCATTTGATGTTATTTCCGGCTGAGAGGGAACGATCTTGGCCTATTGGTTGTTGTTTACCGCCCACTATCGTCTACTCCTGAGATGGACTACAACTTGTTAGCTGCGTTGAGGCAAGTAATAAACAGGAAGTGCAGTCACCGGCGACTTCGACTGTTATGCTCTAGAATCACAGGCCACACCAGGAGAGCAATTCAAAGCTGACTTGCAAGATCTGTTTTCGGACTTCCCGCTTTATTGCCACGTCACTACGCCAACCAAGTTCGGGGGAACTAACAGGCCATCCATATTGGACCGAATATTCACCAACGAAGAACTGATGATCGAGAGAGTGATAATTGATAATGCGATGCCACGCGGATTATCCTAAAAAGCATGCCGAGGAATATCATGTTGTAACCAACTATGACGACCTGTCCGACCTCATTGATGCAATAAGCTGGTCGTTCTTAGCCGAATTAACCCCCTGAGGTGGCCTGCGGAGAATTCGTCAACATATTTACCAAGCTCGTTGCAAGGACATTTGAAACCAAACTCTGCCGGCCTAAAAGGATGAAGTCTTTCGTAAGGAGCAAGATACGTAAATGCATGGCATTAAAGGATTTGGCGTGGCCCACCTATATAGCCTCCCCGAACGACCAATACACAATACAAAGAAACCGCTGTGTCAAACTCGTTCGGGAGGATAAATTGAAGAGCCAACAAGGTCTAGTGGAAAGGTTTTGCTCCAATCCCAAATTGCTATACAGACACGTAAACAATTTGCGCCGTGTTAAGCGCGATATTCCTGCTCTGCACACAGCATGTGGGCTAGCCCAAAACACACAAGAGGCGGCCAAAGTCCTTGGTCAACAATTTTGCCGTACCTTCCAAAGCGTGCAATCATCATACATCCTGCCTAAGCAGATAACGCCGCCATCAGGGCTTATTCACATATCGTTCACCTCCGCAGCTGTACTGAAGAGACTGATGTCTCTGCGCGAGTTCAGCTCCCCGCGTGCGGACGGCATTCGCCCGAAGGCATTGAAAATTGCTGCCATGAGTTTGGCGGCGCCACTAGCAATTTTCTTTCAACGATGTCTGAACGAGATGCACGTCCCCACGATGTGGAAGCACGGAAGCATCATGCCAATCTACAAAAGTGACAGTCATGCTGAACCAACAAATTATCGCCCGATAACTGTACTTCCTGTGATCTCCAAGGTCATGGAGTCCATTGTAGCTGAGGCTTTGATGCGGTACCTGGAGAACAACAAAATTCTCGTTCTGGAGCAGCACGGATTTCGTCAAAATTGCTCTTGTACAACTAATCTATTGATTGCTCGGGCAAGCTGGACGGAATCTGCGGACGCTGATGTAGGAGTCGACGCGGCCTACTTGGACTTCTCAAAGGCATTCGACCGTATAGGCCATCGCATTCTCCTCCACAAACTCCAGAAATATGGAATCGGCGATCTTGTTCTGGGCTGGATAGGAGACTTACACGTGCAATGTCACCTGAATGTGAGGGTTCGAAGTAACCTGTCGGAATCCATCGAAGTTCAGTGCGGCGTACCTCAAAGTTCGGCACTTGGACCCCGGCTGCTCCTGATTTTCATAAATGAGCTCGCTAGCGTACTATCTTCTAACTGTTTGCTATTTGCTAATGATCTAAAGATATGGCGTACTATAGATGCAGTGGAGGATCACACAGTGTTACAGGAGGACCTGGACAAAGCGTACACATGGTCCATCGAGAACATGCTGCATTTCAACGTCACCAAGTGCAAAGTTCTCAGCGTACGGCACAAGAGTATGCACAAATACCGCCTAGGACCACAAATTATACAGCGGGCTTCTCACAAGTGCGATTTCGGCGTAATAGTTCAAGATGACCTCGGTTGTTTGAAACAGACTGAAAAAGCAGCTAAGAAACCAAACCAGTACCTCGGTCTTCCTCGCAGAGCTTTCCGGAAGTTTGACCCTTCAGTCTTTCCAAAGGTGCTTATTGCGTCCGTGAGACCGCACGCGGAATACGCTATTTAGGCGTGGCAACCCTGGCTCAGGCACTATTTTACCGCGCTCGATACTGCACAACGTATGGCAACGAACGGCGTCATAGATTTGACCAGCCTTCACTATCCACCCAGGCTGAAGACCCTCAAAATATACATTGTACGTTATCGGCGTCTAAGGGGCGACCTCATAATGGTGCACCAGATCCTGAGAAACCCCAACCATTCATGTCATTTCCTTATAATCAATTAAAACACCTCGCTAAGAGGTCACCAGTTTAAGCTGGTCACGCAGTACAGCCGCCTGGGATGTCGGCGAAACTATTTCTCCCTTCGAGTGACACAGCCTTGGAACGCCCTCCCGGAACATGTAATTAATGCACCCACCCTATCCCTTTTGAAAATTCTCCTTGGCGATACTCTGTCACATTTACACTACGTGCTATAGCCCATGACCACCAAATGCTGGCACTAATGCACAACAGACAGTGGCTACATAACCCTACTCGGAAATGATTCACTCCAAACCCCTTGCACGAAATTTGATAAACGCTACTACTATAGAAACTGGAATTCTGTATCCTGTCGACCCAAGATCGTTGCACATGAGTAAGCGTTGTCCTTGCTATCTTTTTATTATTAAGCGCCTATTATGTGATCAATAACCACTCCCCTTATTGTTTTATGTGCGTACATTCTCATTTCAAATCCCCTTTATGCGGCAGTGCAGTGAAATCTGTAATCGCCCAAACTGACCACTCCACTACCCCTTGACCTGTCTTTTCTCACTCTAAACCCCCTTCGGGACATGCTAGTCACCTGCTTTCTAACCCGTTATAAATCGTTGTTCAAAATATATATATATATATAACAGTCTACGAATTGACATGGAGCCGACAAGAACCATGGATCACAACGGAAGATACAAGTATCGTGAAAGGAAACACAACAAAAGAGTCCATGATTTTGTCAGCGGGTGTTGACCTAAGTGACATCACCCCGAGTCTTTGGCCTAATGGCCTGCCCGCAAGGCGGCGGAGCGAATTCAGGGAATCGCACCCATTGATATCCAGTGACCGATTACTTGGTTCTTACGCCTTTCGTTTGTCCGTTTGCCAAACAGTGGCCCAAGGCTCTCCCAGAAAATTATAATCAACTGGCATGGCTTCATGTGGCAACTCAAATTGTGAACTTGGACATTGAGTTTCTACGCAGGCGCTATTACTCCTGGATGCTCCTTGACGCTTCCCGATTGGAACCAAGCTTAACATCTCAGGACTGCTAGCTAGAGGACCTGTTCTAAAGGCTGCTTTTGAGCAAGCTCCTTTAACATTACCCACTTTTGCGACGGACCGAATATTGTTGCTGGTACTTTGTATAAACTTCTCAAGTTCATAACCGTCTGAATTCGTCCTCAGTGCTGCTAGCACAATTTTGTGGTACCGACAATGTTTTTTTAGTACATTATGACTGTCATCTCGTTTTTCGTTATTTCTATTTCGCCTTGTTGGCAATTATTGCATTGCCATGTTTATCTTACTGAAAGGAGAAATTACGATCATTCCCCCATACTAAAGTTGGCTGTTAACTGTCATTTTGTTGATCCATTCGCTGCTGTTTGTTAGATGTTTGTCAGCAGCCTCCATTTTCATGCTTTAGTTGCGCTTGGAGAACTGCGTTATGTGGTTCACTACTATGATCTCAGTATTCTTCCGGACATAATCAACTCCGGAAACTTGCGCATATCACACCCTGATATCATATATCAAACTGTTTATTCTTTACATTAATGACTAAGTGGGTGGTCTGTTTCTTGCATGAATTCCCTACACTGTTATAGTTACTTGGAGGCGGCAAGTTTATATCTCCCACTTTTGCTGTTCGCTTCGAAACTATCGAAGTCCTTATCCTTGATATGTTGCACATGGTGTCTGTTGTTTCAGTGTGCATTCTTGTTTTAGCCAACTGTCGCAATGAACATATTACCACACCGGCCAATTTAAGTGGCCACGTGCAGATGTTGGATAGCCATGTTGTTAGTTTAAGCCACAGCTTGTTCTAGTTTGCGATTTGCCACTTCACTCGATTCATTACATCTTTTAGGACCCCGATTTTCGTTTCAGTCATTTTTATTATTTGACTCCGTCCTTCGGTTTCAGACTGGAGTTCAAATACGTCGTTTCGCCCTGCGTGCGCCGATCAACACTGGTATCCTTTTCGTACCCGAGAGGGAGGCTTGGATCGTTGAACGACTCGGAAAATTTCACAGAACGTTGGACCCCGTAACTTTTCCGTCGCTCGTTGCCACTAATACAAGTTCGAATTCAGGGTTTAAACTTTTGCATTCCTTTGGTGGATCGCATTGCTTACGTTCAGTCACTAAAAGAGGTCGCCATCGAAATTCCTGATCAATCCGCAATCACCTCAGGTATTTTATAGTCTTGAGTTATGTTAAGGTCATTCTTGCTTTCAGCCCTGCTTTCTTTTTGTCCCTACTTCGATTCTGTTCTTTCCTCGTACGCACCATTTATCACCGCGATAAGGCTGGGTCATAGCGTTGTAAAGTGATTCGCATACCTCAGCGCACTATGCTTGGTGGCTCCCTCCCCTTGCCTCGATGGCGATTCACACCGGACAGAGCCACGGCTAGAGGCCAGTGAAACTCCTTCCCCTGCTTCTTCTCTTTGGTGCTTATAGAGAGGTTGGTGACCTTTTCTCATACTAACCATGTGCTGGCTATGAGGCCGAATGACGTGATGCAGTACTGGCTGTCTCTGACAATGGGAGGACAGTTCTCTCATCTACTGATTCGCTATCGTCTATCCCAATCCAGACAGCGTCTGATCAGATGAGTGCAAACCCGAATAACTGTGTTTAGTGTCTCAAGCTACGGTCGAAAAGCATGTAACTTTTATAATTTTCCGGGGCTGTGTTTATCCGAATGCGGCTGTACATTCACGCTTCCGAGCAGGTCTCTTTCATTTCTTTGTGGAGTCTTCCAAGCATACTCCCATCTACGCCATCACTGTGAGAGCAAGACTGAGGTGGTTGCCCTAGACCGACCTCTTCTAGTAATTTGCAACCGAAGAGTATTCTTCACTGATAGGGTGCCGCCATCAATGCCCTTTCTTCTCCCGCTCAAGTCTCTCTTCAGCTTAACAAAGAAGTGACTACCGTTTACTTCGTAAATCATATTGACTATCTATTTACATCGTCCTTCAAACCAAGTTCATATTTCACCTTGATATTCCTAACATTCTCGCCCCCGGTCAGATAGGTTAACAAGCAAGGCTAACTCTCGGCGTCCGTTTCTCTGAGGTCTGTATGTGTTTCCGATGCTTCCATACACAACAGTAGCGTCGTAATTTATCTTCAGCTCATTTACTTCTATTGCAGGTGATAAATTACGTCTCATTCACTTAGGTGTGGTGGACCCAGTTGCTTTTGCTCACCTCGCCAAGTAGGAATGCTACTGACTTTGTGAGTGCATCGTATCCGATCGGATATCTGGCCATCAAAATGACCAATTCTGAGGGCCCCATCCAAGAAGACAACAAACACCAACACAACTCAGATTTTTGGCGCATTTGTTCATACTAGTACTCTGTCATTACGTGGCTACCTGAGGGTTTTACCTGACTAGGTTCAGTGTTTGAAAACTGTTAACTATAGCCCGTAGCTCGATAGACGGATCAAGTGCGCACAGGTGTAGTATGGAACAGTTTAATGACAGCTTTCTACGTTACAGTGGATAGAGATGTCGAAACGAGGAACAAATGAAATAAGGAAAATAATGGAAGGTCATTGTCAACCAATCATGTGAGCATCTATGTTCACGATCGTTATTCAGCTGCATGCGCGACACCCCTCCCTTCCCTGGTAAGGACTGTAGACTCGTGGTTGACCTCAAACAACTGGCTTCAACCTGCGTTTCCAGCGTCAGTTGTGGTTGTTCCACACCCGTTTTCGACTCCTTGTTTTGTGAAGCCGATTCCCCATCCGTTTTTGCGTCAGTAGCAGTCGATTGTTGACCCAGCTCATGTGGTCCAATCGAGCTTCGCCGGACATGGTCAGCGGCGGCGCGCCACACTGCCGTCCTTCAGCTCTAGCTTCGCTTGGTTACTTGGTGAAAACATAATTGTAGCGGGTTGCCAGCTTGCTTCGTGAGGCAATCTTGTGTACATTGGACCAAAATCTTTGTGACATTTCCTCCGGCATCTTATCATCCCCAAGTATCTTTTCCTGCTTTGACTCCATACTCCTTCAAGTGTTCGGGAAACGCAGGGTGCACTCTCGTTCGTAGTGGCCGGCCAAACATCAACTCCACGGGTCGACTCAGTCAATGTCGTGAGGTAAGAGAACAGGAGATGATCCAACTTAGTTTGCACAGTTCCATGAGTCTGCTTAACAGTCTGGACTGCACGTTCTGTCATTCCATTCGACGTAGCATGATACGGCGCAGACTTGATGTTCTGTATTCAACTGTTACTCAAGAATCGTTGAAAATCCTCGCTGGTAAATGGTGTTCTGTTGTCGGTACATCCGGTTTCTGGGCTACCGAAGATGGGGAATTTGGAATGCATTTTTGCAACTGTAGTTGCGGAAGTCGCGCGCGGAACTGGATGTACTTCTATCCATCTAGAGTGGGCATCAATCAGGCCACCGCCATGAGTGTATCGGTCCGGGGGATTTTTTTCCTTGGTATTTCTGACAGTTCACAACTTTTCAATAGCCGTTCCTTATCCTGGTCCATGTTCGATCACCAACAGTGACCACGTGTCAGTGCCTTCATCCTGTTCACGCCAGGGTGTGCGTCATGCAGCTCCCCCAACAATCGGTTCCGTAGTTCTTCCGGTGAAACTATGCGCGAGCCTCGAAATATACAGCCGTCATAGATACTTAACTCATTATTCCGACAGGCGAATAATTTCTGTTCGCCTGACGTGCTTGTAGGCCATCCGATCCTCAAGAACCGCTTCCCCATCGACAACACAGGGTCCCAGTCCGTAAGGCGACACATCACCTCACTCTTGATGGGTGCCTTTTCAAGGTGTTGCATGCAATTGAATAACTCCACGGGTTCACTGTTCGTGTTTGTGCTGGCTGCTGTTGCAGTTGACTCGGTGCATCGTCAATAGTGTTACTAGGTCCATTTACATACTGAAGCTTGTAGTTATAGGCGCTCAAAATTAAGGCCCACTTTCGCATTCGCGGGGAAAACATCTGCTGGATTCCTTTCTCCTCACCGAACAGGGGAAGAAGTGGTTTGTGGTCAGTGTGCATATTGAACTGTCTTTCCCAGACGTACTGGTGAAAATGTTTGACTCCGAAAATAATCGCTATGGCTTCTCTGTCCAGTTGGAAGTGATTCCTTTTAGCAGGTTGCAGGGTGCGAGAAGCAAAAGCGATTGAACGAAGAGAACCATCATCCGTCTGGTGGCAAAGGACGGCGTCTACTCCGCTTGGGGAAGCGTCACACTGCAACACTGGAGGCCGGTTCGTATCGAAATGCACGAGATACGGCGAGGCGCTGAGCACGCTTTTTGCCTCTGTGAAGGCCTTTCTTTGTTCTGGACCCCTGGCCCAGAACCTCCTCTTGTGTAGTTATTCGCGCAACTACTGTTGTGGCCTTAGGTAAGAAGCAACGATAGTGAGGAAACATCTCCAAAAGTCATCGGAGTTCAGCCTCATTCTTGGGTTCAGGTGCGACAAGGATGGGCGTGACTTTGTCTTCTAACACGTGTAGTCCGTTTTTATCAAGGTAGTAGCCCAGGTAACGAACGGAATCCGAGAGAATCGTACTGTTGAATTTTTTCAGTTTGAGCCCACTCAGTTGTAAACCTTCGGGCACAGTGGATAGCGTCTGTAAAGTTCAGCATCTGTACGTCCTATATTTAGGATGTCGTCAAGATAGGCGCGACCGAAAGCAATATCTTTGATCAGGTTATCAATTATCCTTTGGAATGTCGCAGGGAGTGAACTGCTTCCGAAGTGCAAACGTCTGTACTGGAATAGACCCATGTGTGTACTTATCGTAGTGCATGTGCGAGAGATCTCGTCTAATTCAATTTGTAAGTACGCGTGACTGAGGTCGATCCGTGTAAACTTTTGTCCGCCTGCCATGGTTGCATACAGATCGACTATCCGAGGTAAGGGATACTTATCCACAATTAAACGACGATTAACAGTTAATTTATAGTCACCACAAGTACGCACAGAACCATCCGGCTTCAGGACTGGAACTGTTGGAGCTCTCCACCCACTGTATTGGACTGGTCCGATTGTTCCTGCTGATTGCAATCTCTTTATCTCGTCTTCCACCTTTGATCTCAGGGAATAAGGTAGGGTGTGTGCCCTGAAAAGCTAGGCCGAGTTCCCGGCCGTAATTTGATACTGGGCTGATATCCGTGCAATTTTTCTACTTTATCATCAAAACCTCAGAATATTTGTTGAACACATCCTCCAAGCGCTGGTTAATGGACGTGAACTTCACTGTCTCTAACGTGGTCGGAAGGCATCTAATCCATTCGCACTTGAATAAGTTCGAACAATCGTTCACCACAACATATCCCTGTAAGGGCCGCTTCTCCCCATAGTAATTTACATGAAGATTGCATTTTCCCAGAACGGTATCGGCTGCCCAGTGTACGCACGCAAAGTTGGTTCCCAGGGGCATAACTTGTGTAATCTTTTAACTAAGGCAACATTGATTATGCCAACTGAGGCACCGGTATCAACTTCCATTTTAACCAACTGGCCTATTTTTAATTCTACAGTGTAGGTGGGTGAACGCTGCAGATGCTCGACGTTGCATTCCAGATCGTGTTTCGCTGGTTTTCGGCTGAAGACTGGGTGACCTTCACGGGCTTCTTAGGAAAACGTGATGTCGCGGCTGTGCAGGTTTTAGATCGGCAAACTCTGGCCAAGTGCCCTTATTTTCCACTCTGACAGCAGGTACTCTGTTTATGACATTTCTTGACTGATAAATGCTGATTTCCACATCGGTAGCATGTGAAAGGCAATTCCGACCGTCTCGCGTAACACTCTTTCAGTCGGTTGCTTGGATTGTTTGCAACTGTTTATGGACATTCTCTAGCTGCTGAACAATATTACAGCCCTTCCTCGCGCACTCATTGTCGTCTCATCTTCCGGCATCAGGCTTTCACGAGCCTGATCTTTGCGGTTACTGGATATCAAACACTGTAGAGCCATCGCTTCTTCGAACTTGGTGGCTGGGATTTCACTATATTGACACTTTGGTAGGCCTTACTGAATCCTCGCAATGAAATCAGTGACACTCTTCAGATTTTTGACGCAAGGTCGAGAAGGAATATTGTGTGGTATGTGTTCAATTGTGAACCACATAGCCCGCTGAGGACGTCTAACACGCTGTCAAGTGTCCCTGTCGCACCGACATGGAAGTTATCAAAATGTATTTG